ATATTGATAGCCACCGTAGCTGCTTCAGCTGTGTTCAGTATGATTACGGCAGCTTATATTCAGCACTTGGCAGCATTCCTTACTAGCTGTAACTTCCAAACCATCCAAGTGTATGACAGCCGTCTAACAGGGATGCTTGTACTATAAGCTATCGTAAAATAGATACTTTGATTTTATACTGGGAACTGAGGCATCTGCTAATGCCTAGAATAATAAAAGGAAAGCCTGTCTGGAGTGGTGGTAAGCTGAGTACTAGCATATATTTAAAGAGCGCCAACGTTTTAACGTTTTAACCAAGAACCTTTCTAAAGGGGCAAGGCAAGGGTGCTAGCAGAGTGGCAAGCAGGGGGAAGGGGAGACTTGTTTTGATCCCTTGTTCCCAAAATAACAGTTCCAGTGGTCACTTCACTAAGGCAGAGGACATGACTAACTGGTTGGGCTGATAGTCACAAGAAATGTACAGGAACAGGTAGATCCTTTGTTTTACTGTATCGCCCTCAAGCCATAAAGAAGGCCGCCGAAGAATTGATGCTTTTGAATTATGGTGCTGGAGGAGACTCTTGAGAGTCCCATGGACTGCAAGAAGATCAAATGCATCCATTCTTAAGGAAATCAGCCCTGAGTGCGCACTGGAAGGACAGATCGTGAAGCTGAGGCTCCAATACTTTGGCCACCTCATGAGAAGAGAAGACTCCCTGGAAAAGACCCTGATGCTGGGAAAGATTGAGGGCACAAGGAGAAGGGGATGACAGAGGACGAGATGGTTGGACAGTGTTCTAGAAGCTACAAACATGAGTTTGACCAAACTGCGGGAGGCAGTGGAAGACAGAAGTGCCTGGCGTGCTCTGGTTCATGGGGTCACGAAGAGTCGGACACGGCTAAACGACTAAACAACAACAACAATCTAAACAATCGCCCTCAAGGCATATACCCCGAGAAAAGCTGTTTCAAACCTGCAAACAGAGCGTTGCTCCACTGGTCCCTGTCTCTACTAGAAATGTGGGGCTAGGGGTGCTGAAGCAACTTGCTTTGCCTGCTGATGCACGGGCCAAGGTGTATATAAATTAAAGTGAGGCTCAGGGTAGGAGGGTCACTGTGAAGTTCATGCCCTCCCTAGCAACCATCCACACTTCCTCCTTAGACAACCCTGAGTATAGACTAATATATACAAATAATAACACTGCCCTAAGCAACTGCAGCTCTGGGGAGTGATTATGACCAAAGAAGGTAAAAAGCATGGTTTTGTTGTCCGTTGTAATACCAGAAGGAAGAAGCTATCAGTTAGGCAATCAAGCAAATGAAAATCTTGGGCTAGCTCACGGAGCCCACAAGATTACAGACAAGATTTTAAAACTTCTCCTAGGGATTTGTGTCTATGAGCACACTCTATTTATAGATGGTCAGAAATTCATCTGTAGGGATAAAGGATTCGTTCCTGTTCAGTCATGAACCCGGCTGGGTGGCCTTGGACAAGCCCCTCTCTCAGTCTATCCTCTTTTGGGGGACCAAAAAAAGGCAACAACTCTGTATAAGAGGTTCCCCACCCCGTGGTAGACATTGTGTACTTATGTGCTTCGACTTTCAAAAAGCTTTTGAGAAAGTTCACCACCAAAGGCTCCTAAGGAAACACAGCAGTCAAGGGATAAGAGGACAAGTTCTCTTATGGATCTGTAACTGGCTAAAGAACAGGAACAGGAATAAAAACAGGAGTTGGAATAAATGGAAAGCTCCCACAATGAAGGGCTATAAGAAATGAGGGACTCCCAGAGGTCTGCATTTTTAAAAATCTTGTTAAAATGGAGGTTGGGGTGAACAGTGAGATGGCCAAGATTTCCAGTCACACCAAATTATTCTGGACAATAAAAGAAAATAGGGTGAATGAGCAACCAAGTGGAACAAAACGTGATGCAATGAAAGCAAAAAATCCATACTTCACATATACATTGATGGGGTCTGAAGTGTCAGTAACCAACAAGGAAATGGATCTTGATGTTATGGTGAAAAGCTTAATGAAAACGTTGACTCAGTATGCAGTAGCTGTGATAAAGGTAAATCCCATGTTAAGGATCATTAGAAAGGGGATTGGAAATAAAACTGGCAGTGCTGTAATACCTTTATACCAATCTATGGTGTGACCATACTTGGACTACTGTGTACAGTTCTGACTGCTGCACCTCAGAAAGTATACAGTAGAGCTGGAAAAGGTGCAGAAAAGGGCAATGAGAATGACCAGGGCAGTGGCGTCGAAACGGGGGGTGGCGGCGGTGCGCCCTGGGTTCCATGTCAGTGGGGGTGATAAGCCACCCCGCGGGGGCTTGCCGCGGCACAAGCAGCCATCACACCACTGCAGCCGCATGTGGAGGATCCTCCATTCACAACTGCAGCCACGAGCAGAGGATCATGGCACCAGCGGCAAACCACTAAGTACAGCGGATGTGCGGCGGCGCCCTACGTAGCGACATCCACCCCGGGTGTCATGACGCCTTCCTTCGCCCCAGGACCAGGACACTGTAGCAACTTCTCTGTGAGGAAAGCTTGCAACTTCTGGATATTTTTAGTTTAGGAAAAAGGGGGAGAGGCATGATAGAGGTGTACAAAATTATGTATGGTGTGAAGAAACTGTATAGAGATAGGTTTTTCTCCCTCTCTCAAAATAATGAAACCTCTGGTCACCCACTGAAGCTGAGTGGGAGAAGGTTCAGGACATACAAAATGAAGCACTTCTTCACACAGTGCAGAGTTAAACTATGGAATTCACTTTCACAAAATGCAATGACTAGTAGTCATGATGGTTATATAGTCTCCTATGTTCAGAATCAGAAGTAGCACGCCTTTGAAAACCAGTCACTTGGTAACAAAAGAAGGCTATTCAAGCCATAGCTTTGAGTAACTAAGTAACTTACGGCCAAAGTAAAAGGTAAAGGTAAAGGTAAAGGTACCCCTGCCCGTACGGGCCAGTCGTGTCCGACTCTAGGGTTGTGCGCTCATCTCACTTAAGAGGCCGGGAGCCAGCGCTGTCCGAAGACACTTCCGGGTCACGTGGCCAGCGTGACGAAGCTGCTCTGGCGAGCCAGCACCAGCGCAGCACACGGAAACGCCGATTACCTTCCCGCCAGAAAGCGGTACCTATTTATCTACTTGCACTTAGGGGTGCTTTCGAACTGCTAGGTGGGCAGGAGCTGGGACCAAAAAACGGGAGCTCATCCTGCTGCGGGGATTCGAACCGCCGACCATACGATCGGCAAGTCCTAGGCACTGAGGTTTTACCCACAGCGCCACCCGCGGCCAAAGTAGCTGAGGTGATAGAGATCTGTCACCAGATCTTTCATCTCTTTTAAATTTTGGCAGCAAGTAAACTATATGGTAAAAATACCAGGTGAAACTACCTGGATGGTGCTGGGGGAGAGGAGTTAATCCATTTTCCTTAAGAAAATCATATCACTCCCCCCTCAAGATTGCTATTTGCACAGTTAGGGGCCTGTATATATAAATTCTCCTCAATGAAGCTAGTATCAGCTGGGTGAATGTAATTTTAATCAGGGAAATCATGCAGTATAAAAGAGTTATATTCTCTTTTCTGAGCTCTGTAGTCCCACTCTGTTATCTGCCAACTGAGTTGGACGTTCCAGCCACAAAACTCTGTCATCTCATCTAGATGGCAGCTTATTTTCTTGTATCTATGTTAACTGCTCACTGGCCTTTGCAAACAGGTTGTCTCATTTATCTCTGCCACAAGCAGAACCTGAAATTAAAAAATAAATACCCATCACAACACTGTGCAACTTCTCATGTCTAGTTTCCTGCTTACACAGTCTCATACTAACACCACATTGTCAATGATGTCAAAGGGTTTTTTAAAACCTAAGACTATCAATAGGCTACACACAGTCTCGTGAATGCCTAGATGAAGAGCATTAACCATGGCCACAAGTGAATATGCTGAAAACGCTTACATGAGGAAAGCCAACATATGAAGGCATTGAAATGATTCCCCACCCCACAAAAGGCATACTCATGCAGTTCTGTCTATAGTATATAGGAGGGTAACAAAACATTTAATCACCAATTAAGATACAGGACAAGACTGACAAATATATCAATTGCTCAGAAAATAAAGTGCAAAGGATGAGCTGAACTGCCTAGTCATTATTGTTACTTAGCAATTTTATTTCAGAGATCTGCATGACCTTCCCTGTAGATGTTGATAGAGTCTTTTAGCTTTTTAGGGTGGAAATGTGTTTTCCTATTTCTTCCTCTGGCTTTAAATTATTTTTGCCACACTGTAGTGCAATTACACCTTTTAATGTCCTTTCATTGATTCCGCATTTATCTTATCTGATTTTCTACAAGCAGACTGATTATGAAGTTAAAGGGAGAGATAGATGGAAGGGGCAACTTCAGCTGTGAAATATTGTAGCGCACTCAAATGTAATTACATTTTAGAGCTACACTTGAGTTGTATTTATGTGAAATGAGATCAGCAGATTCAGTGAGTTTTAATTAATTGTGTCCAGTATGATCGTTAAAAAACTAAAGATGGGGAAGTAATATCACTGAAGAACTAGACAATATGAAGCCTGAGCAAAGTTTAAGAAATATATTAAATTTGAAGAAGATGTGGCTGTCACACCATTAGTTTTCCAAGCAAAACGGAATTTATGGAAAAGTCAGGTATAGATCCTGATTGCAATCTTTGAACTTTCTGTGCTCTATATATTGGACTTTTATTACTGAATAGTAATTTGGAACTCATCAGTCAAACACAACTTTATATATTTCAAAATACTGGGTATTTGCATGTGGTATCCCTGGGATCCAGGACCTTGGCAAGGCCCCCTGCCCTGAAACCTCATCCCTTAAAAAAAAAATGCAGCTAACCTTGGCTTAGATCAGCGCAGCATGGAAATAAAAAAGTGCAGAGCAGCAAAACAGGTTACTGTTTCATGGGAAGTATATCCCTCCAGCAGCAATTCTTCAGATTTCAGATAGAATACTTTTCCAGCTCTACCCGGAGACACCCAAAATTGAACCTGGGACCTTCTGCATACAAAGCATATGCTCTACCATTAAGCTGCAGACCTTTCCTCTAAGAAAGAAGTGGAAAAGCTTTGACTCTCCAGATTTTGCTGAACTACAACTCCCATGAGCCCTTGCAACCATGGTTAATGCTCAGGGATGGTGTGGGTTGTAGTTCAGCAACATCTGGAGGACCGATGGCCCCCCACATCTGCTCTAAGACATTACGGGTAGTGGTTGGGGCAATCCAGTCAGAAGGGTGGGGTACAAATAATAAAGTTGTTGTTGTTGTTGTTGTTGTTGTTGTTGTTGTTGAAGAACTAGACTGTACTCAGAACAGACTCACTGAAGTTAATAAACCTAAGTTATGTCCATTAAAATTTAGATGGGTCTACCCTGAGTAAAACCTATTTGGATATCATTCCAAGGAAGCATTTCCATTGCATATTTACCAAAATGCTATTTTAGGGTGAGAAAATATGCCTCTAATGAGCGTTTCGGATTAGAATTGTAATAATGATGATGATGATGATGATGATGATGATGATGATGCACATATATTAACTAGAATGGTAAAAGCAGTTCCTTTAAGTGATGGAAACAGAGAGATTTGTCTCACTCCTCATCAGTGATGTTAAAATCACGGTGAAACTCCAGCAATTACTTCGCATTGTGACGGCATAACTTAACTGGAGTCACTGCAGAAACCACATACAACCATGCAGTTGTCAGGCTAAGGTATTACAATATCTCCACTGCAGAGGTGCCACCTTCAAAAAAGATGTGTGGTCTGGATGTTATGTAACAGACTGTTTTTGTTGCTTTTGCTATGTTATTGTCTGATCTTCTAGAAAGTCCTCCCCCCACCCCCACCGCTGCCATATGGCTTTCCAGCAATTCCAAACTGTGTTCTGTCTTGCTCTCTTTCAAGCCTGGCTTGAACAATGGGGTTTGGAGCTCTGTATGAGGCGTCTGGACAGGACTTGTGGTTTTGTGTCTCTCTTGCTCTTTAATGTCAACTCTTCCACAGACAGCCCCTACGGATTCATCAGTTGATGCAGCATTTTCTTTCCTGACTTAAATGACATGACATTGGTAAACATGTTAAATAAGATGGAAATTTATCATTCATATCTATCATAGAATGCCATCAATTATTCAAAATGAGGGAATATCTTAAAAAGAGCCTCTGAAGTGTCTGTATTTATGGATCCTACATTGTCTCCTTCCTGGTTTATTGACATGTGCATTATCAAACAGTTTATTAACTGTGTTTGTACTAGTATGAAAACATAAATCAAGAGGATGGAATGAGCAGTCAGCTGCAGCAGATACAACCAGCCTTCTGAGAAATGCTGGTGAAACTTTTGGAAGGTTATTAGCACAGGACTATGCCTTTATAGGTGGGATGCGGGTGGCACTGTGGTGTAAACCACTGAACCTTGGGCTTGCTGATCGGAAGGTTGGCGGTTCGAATCCCCGCGACAAGGTGAGTTCCCTTTGCTTGGTCACTGCTCCTGCCAACCTAGCAGTTCGAAAGCACGTCAAAGTGCAAGTAGATAAATAGGTACTGCTCCGGTAGGAAGGTAAACAGTGTTTCCATGCACTGCTCTGGTTTCACCAGAAGCGGCTTAGTCATGCTGGCCACATGACCTGGAAAAACTGTCTGCAGACAAACGCCGGCTCCCTCGGCCTATAGAGCGAGATGAGCGCTGCAACCCCAGAGTAGTTCGTGACTGGACTTAAGTGTCAGGGGTCCTTTACCTTTTATGCCTTTATAGAGCATTGGTAAGATCTGAGGTAGTGTCTAAAGGACAACTAAAAATAACTTGCAACAATGCAGTAAGTTACGTTGTAAATCTTCTACTTCTTGTGTTTCACATTCATGGTAAGAATAATGAATGCTTTAATAGGGGGAAATGTTACTTTTTCCAAGCGTGGTGATTATTTACCCCTGAGCTCCCTCTACCCTTCACTATTAAAACTTTTGCCTGCTTAATCTCCCTGCCTTCTCAATGGCTGGAAGGAAACAGGGTCCCTTTGGGAAACAAACTAGTCATCTCATTCCAGTTAACTTCCTTTGTTTCTAACCAATAAGCTCCTTAAAAAAACAAAAAACTATTGGAAAGAAGAATAAATTTTCCTTTCCAGATACAGTACTTAGTCAGACATGCAAACAGCCCCTTTAAAGTTGTGTAATCTGCTCTTCTCCAACCTGGTGCCTTCCAGATGTTTCTGATGGGGCTGATGGGGGTTGTAGGCAAAAACACTTGGAGAGCACCAAGTTAGTGATGGCTGGTGTGTAATGTAAAAGAAAAAGAAAAAAAGAGTCTGCCTTCATGTCTGAACATGGAATAAATGATCTACCTCTGATCCAAGTCTATATAATTGGCATTCAGTATACGCCTCTACACCCATCCACCCCTCCAATAATACTATGCCAAGAAAACTTGGTTTTTGCAGCCTGCTTGTGCAGTATTGTGCAAATCAGACATTTGCCTATTTTGTGTGCATTTATTCTGGTTGGAATTTCCATAACTCTCTCCCATGAAGAGGACAAATACATCTCCAAAACATTGCCCTCTGATCCGTGTAAAGTGTCAGAATTTGACAAGGAAAGTGCGTAAAGGACTGCTATTCACTTTCCTCCAAGAGCTCTTTTTCTGCTCCAAATCCCACCTCCCGCTGCTTTTGTCCACTTTGGGCTCCTCCTGAGGCATGACTGGAAGAATAAAATGAATCTGGAACCCCATAGTGGGAAGAGTGGCTTGGATGGGGTGCTCTGGAGGAGAAAAGCAGCCTGCTGGGAAAAGATAGCTGCCCCTTTCTCCGCTGCCAATTCTCGAAATTGCAGCCTCCCCATGTTGCTTTTCTTAACAAACCAAATAGCCCTCTGCTGGAGCATTGCTTAGCATGTTAGCATGAAACATGTAGGTTTTACCCCATAGAAATGATCAAAAGTCAAGTATAAAAGCAAACAGTATAAGGAATATGGTAGTAAGATTTACTACTAATCTAAATCGAAAAGGCTGCTCAGCCCATATCCCCTTTGTTATTCGAGATTTTGCTAGCTATTGCCAACACACTGTGAACTCTTTCTTCATAGCCCTAAGGGACAGAAACTTTTTTTGAAAAAAGAAAAAAGAAAAGAAAACTCCATATGCCAAACACTCTGCCCAGTATCAAATTCCCCTCCTGTACATTCCGAATCACATCAGACAACGCCCAGCCTGGAGGAGACATGTCTTCATGTTAACGCTTACCACCTTGTTTTCTTCTAGTTATTTAGCTGTAATTAATTATTTAATGATCTTAATTCTTTGAAAAGAGCCCTTTAATTCTTGAACAGGCAAAATGCTTTTCTGGATTAACTGCAGGCTGGCAGGCAAATGCAAACTGGAGGAGCTCCTGCATGCTGCTCAGCCATTTTGAAACAAGTTAAGTTTGGGTGTCCTTGTTTAACTAGCCATGAGCAATTCATAAAATTTCAGATCCCTGTGTAACAAACAGCGACTTCTTAAGTTTGTTGTTAGAAAATCCTTCTTCCAGTCTGTTATGAAAGAGAGGTTTTGATGTGCTGCCAATTTTTCACATGGTGCTCTGGAAGCTGAGCCATGGCTGTGCTGTAAAAGCTGAGCCACTAGTTACATAAAGCTTTCCTAGCAACTCAGATTCCTCTCTCTCTCTCTCTCTCTCTCTCTCTCTCAGACACACACACACACAGAGAGAGAGAGAGAGAGAGAGAGAGAGAGAGAGAGATGAAAGGCAACGGTAGCAAAATTAAAGAGACCCAGCACAAATTATATTCCTGTTTCCAAGGAACAACAATTGTGAAACAGCCCTCTCGACCCAAAAAAACAATAGCCAACGAGAAGGAAAAAAGCAAAATGCTACGTTTTGGCATACTGTGTCCAACCTATGTGCTCACAGTGAACCTAGAAACAAATGCTGATGCACTCAGATAAATATGGGCGTCGATGCACACATTACAGAGAAGCAGTTTCAAACGTCCCTGACCAGCAGTTTATTTCTAGCGCATAAAATATATCCCCCCTTCTTCTGGCCTCTCCCTCTGCCTCTTGTAGTGCAGCGATAAAAGGAAGTAAACATCGCAGCAGCAAATACGTGCCAAGTGAAACAAACATGAAATGGCAAAACAAAGCAGCCCAGCACACTTGGATGCTGCCAATATAATAAAAGTGGATGCAAGATATATGCACAGACATATATATGAGCATTTTGATGTACATAACTTGCATTCAATTTTTCTCTATAGATAGAAGTAAGTGAAGCTGTTTTTTTCCTAGATGGGAAGAAATGAATATTTATTGCCAGAAGAAAGGGTTCTGACAGTCGGGGAAAAGCCTTGTTATTCTCCTCCCACCGAGACCCACCAGGCCTTGCAGAGAGTGAAATCCTTCTAAATAAAACTGTTTGATCAATAGACTGCTTAAGGTCTAGATGACTTGATACATTTCCATCTGTGGAGCCAAATCTCTTCTGAGGTGATTTTTCCAGCACTGCCATTTTTTTCATTAACAAAAATGACATTCAAACCCCAGTAACGCGCCTCCAAAACCTGAAAGTACCCAAGGGAGGGAGGGAGAATCGCTGAACCGCGTTTTATTAAAAACTGTATATGTGCCAACCAGTTTTCCCCATGAATCCTTTCTGATGAACAGAGCGATGAGGGTGGGGCAATTTGCAAAAATGGCCTCAGCATGTTAGCGCCTGCATTCAGTCTCTGATTTCTTATTGTTACGGAGCTGATGAAATCAAAATACAAAGCCAGCCAATGAATTTACATAGGAGGCAAAATGAGGTTTGATTACACTAAAGGTAAATAAAGGATGATAAATGAGGCAAAATAAGGGCATCTCAAACCAGAGCAGCAGCAGCAGCAGCAGCAGCAATGTGTAGGTTTGGAGAGAAAGAACATTGGCACTGCTTTGTTTTCTCTTTCAAATTTGCAGTGCCATCGTAAGTACACAAATCAAAAGAAAATCAATGAGAAAGAAGACCTGCAACCTCCTGAAGGATGGAGCTAATTAATTTCAGCAGACATTGGACCAGGCCCCAAATGGAATAAAACAAAGAAAAATGTGCTACATAAAGAAAAAGAGCAATTATCTGCTGAACACTGCAGGAAGGGTGTATTCCTTCCTTCAGGCAATTAGCAAAGGATGCCAGAAAAGGAACACTTTTGCCCTCTCCAGATGGACAAACAGTGCAGAAATTAATGTATAGGGGGACGATATCACTCCAGCTAGCCCTGATCCCAACCTTCAGCTTGGATCACAACTTATGAATGGAATCTATACCTGTTCACTGCAATGAAAACTCCGTTTTTGCAGGGCATAGATGAAAATTGTACATTCAGGACCTTCAGCCATAGGCACAAAGTACAGTCAATGCAAGAGGTCAGGGATGGGGCAAGCAGGTGTGACACACAGATAGAGCCCACATTTCTACCCTGTTTGGCCATCTACACAACATTTGTTGGCAAGCAAAGGTGCATGGGAAGAATCATGGGAGACGTGCTTCATGGTGCATCTGAGCATCTGGCAGCCATAAGTCTGAGTATGGCTCTCAGCCTTTGATTAGCTGCTCATAAACCACCCTAAGTAGGATCCAGTTTTCAGCATGCCTTGATTCCTGTCTAGGTAGGCCCCAGAGCAGGAAAAGTGGTTCACTTCCAAATGGACTGCAGCTGGTACCTGACTCTTTCAAGGTGTGCCCCCTCCCCGAGGCAGGGGTAGCGTTTTCTTTCTTAGTAGCTTCAGTAGTGCTGCGGAGACATGCCGTTGTTGGAGCAGTCCAGGACCCCACTCTGAGCAGGAGAGTTCCCAAGGTTTGCAGAGCTTGCTCACCATATTATGAAGTAAACAAAGCAATGCACATGCATCTAAAGAGAACCCCTTTTCCCTGCAGAACTATTAAACCCAGAGTATTAAAATTACCTAACTACATGACTGCATAGACCTAGCTGCTTGTTTTGCTTTTGTAAATACAACATGGGCTCAATATGCAAATATCAGCAGGTTAAACTTTTCACAGAATGGAAGGAAGTAAGGTTAAGGGACCCCTGACCATTAGGTCCAGTCGTGACTGACTCTGGGGTTGCGGTGCTCATCTCGCTTTATTGGCCAAGGGAGCTGGTATACATGTGGCCAGCATGACTAAGCCGCTTCTGGCGAACCAGAGCAGCGCACGGAAACACCGTTTACCTTCCCACCGGAGCGGTACCTATTTATCTACTTGCACTTTGACGTGCTTTTGAACTGCTAGGTTGGCAGGAGCAGGGACTGAGCAACGGGACCTCACACCGTCGCGGGGATTTGAACTGCTGACCTTCTGATCGGCAAGTCCTAGGCTCTGTGGTTTAACCCCACAGCGCCAGTATTACCTGCTAATTAAGTAAAGGTAAAGGGACCCCTGACCATTAGGTCCAGTCGTGACCGACTCTGGGGTTGCGGTGCTCATCTTGCTTTATTGGCCGAGGGAGCCGGCGTACAGCTTCCAGGACATGTGGCCAGCATGACTAAGCCGCTTCTGGAGAACCAGAGCAGCGCACGGAAACACCGTTTACCTTCCCACCAGAGTGGTACCTATTTATCTACTTGCACTTTGACGTGCTTTTGAACTGCTAGGTTGGCAGGAGCAGGGACCAAGCAACGGGAGCTCACACCGTCGCAGGGATTCGAATCACTGACCTTCTGATCGGCAAGTCCTCGGCTCTGTGGTTTAGACCACAGCGCCACCTGTGTCCCCAACCTGCTAATTACTGCAGATCAAATGACCATTAAAGGCACAGTAGCAATGGCTTGCAAACAGTTGGCAACCCTGTATAGTGCCCTTAACATTTTGCTCAGGGGATTCAGCTAGGGGTGCTCCATCTTCAGCCCTGAAGTATTGTTATGTCTCTTTCGGCAATCCAACCCATTTCCTGACCTCTCTACAAGCAGCGAAATCACATTGCACAGATTTCTACTGAAAATTAGATCAATACTATACTCATTCGCTGCCCAGGTTCCCAAGTGATTCATGAATCTCAGAACTAGTTCATGAATCTGAAGAGGATTGGGAGAAAAGACAGAGGATGAAGAAGGTAGAATATCTGCAGTCAGCAGATTTCAGGCTTCCATCATAAGTTCAGGCATTAGTTAAACAGGAGCCAGGTTTGCATGAAGCAAACTATGGCTTTCTGTGAATGAGCAGCATACTGGTGCATTCTGCTCAAACTGCGCCTACACTACTTCCTTTGCCAAGCTGGGAGAAAACAAACAACAGTGCTGGCTTAGTGCTAGGTGCAGATGAGCCCTTGTGGTTTGTTTCTCTCCAAACAAACCACAGGAGGAAGCCATGGTTTGCTTTTGGCTTACTGGTCGTGGTTTGCTTGGGGCAGTTCTGTGGTTTTTCCCCTCCTGGCTTGGTGACAAGAGGTGAGGGGTGCATGCAGTTGAGTAGCATGCACCAACCACACTGCTCATTCACACTCAACCATGGTTTGTTTCAAACTATTGTTTATCAGGGTTAATGTTGGATTCTGACGTTTACTAGCTGAAGCCAACATTTGAGGCGCTGTTCTTTAAAGGTTTGAACCTAGAACAAATTAAGGTAACACTTTTCTCTTTTCCATTTCATGCACCCACCCACAGATGTACAAGAAATCAGTTCCATTTCATGAAGCAACCACAAGTGAGCCAATGCTAGACATATAGCAAGGACGCCTCACACAAGGTGTTCTGAGAAGCCATATATTGGTGCCAAGCAAGCAAGCAAGCACACACACACACACAGAGAGAGAGAGAGAGAGAGAGAGAGAGAGCGAGCAGCTAAAACTATGAAGCGCTCACAGAGCTCTCATAAATTTGCCATGTTACTAGTATGCAGAAATCACACAAGGGCGTTTGATGGATGAAATGAGGCAGCTGCTCCATGCAACTGATGTGGGGTGCATGCATGCACCTACAAAGAAAAATCAATGCTATGATACATAGCGCCAAGCATTTGCCTTGGACTCAGAGAGGTCACTACTTAGAGGCCCTTTAAATCTGTACAAAAGCCAAGTTCATTTCTCCGAGGAGTTTCATAAGGAAGCACGTGACGAGGGCAGTTGGAAACCACAGCTCTGTTGGTGCTGATTACAGCCTGCTGAGGAAAATGAACTTCCTATTGTGTGTGTGTACACACACTCTCTCTCCTCAGCAGATACACACAGAGGCACAGGTACGCACACACACCAGTTCCTCCCTGTGTTTGGCTAAACTTATTGCCCCACAGTGCTTTCAAATTTATCAAAAAGCTGTGGGCAATAACCTAAAATACTGAAGGGGTTAGAGGGGGAGGGTGTCAGGGAGAGCAAGGAAGGGGGAAAGTCACCCTGCTGGCAAATGAATGCAGCAGGGATGATGTCATTGGAACAGTTGGTGGAGAAAAGAGAAAAACAAGTCTGTGTGTGCTAATCCTGTTTGCTGCCCTAAAGGGAATGGAAAGCAGCCAAGGCAAGGAGTTCTGGGAAACCATATAAGGGTGCCAAACAAGCTTTGCCGCCAACATTAGGAACTGACATCTTTGTTCTTTGTAATTTGGAAGGCTGCCAAAGGCCTCATTTCAGCTCTGCAGCATGATTACACTGGACGCTTGCCAGATGAGCTCTCTGAGCCTCTTTTCTTCTCGGGAAGCTTTCTGCCAAACACACTGCAGTTACCATGGCAGTGGAAATGAAAGTTTAAAATTATAGATATATAATATTCACACATTTTTTGA